TGTGTGTGTGTGTGTGTGTGTGTGTGTGTGTGTGTGTGTGTAGGTGTTCAGTATGTTCCTGGAGACACTGGTAGATTTCATCCAGGTCCATAAGGACGATCTGCAGGACTGGTTGTTTGTCCTGCTTACACAGCTTCTGAAGAAGATGGGAGCGGACCTGCTGGGATCCGTTCAGGCTAAAGTTCAGAGAGCCCTGGATGTCACAAGGTGAGTTGCACATTCGTATACAGACAAGCAAGTACAAATCAAGATTTTAAAAAGTGGCTTTTTATCTTACTTTACCAACACATTGTGGTCTATATACAGTCCATTGTGATCATTACGTAGACCGGACAAGTAAAATGTTTGAGTGATAACCTATAAATTTAGTTCAGTTTGAACCCCAACAATCAAATACTGTAGTTTTTGGGTCATAAGCCGCTACTTTTTTCCCACACTGCGGCGTATACTGACATGCGGCTAATGCATTTTTTTTTTCATGCAGCCAAAAACATTTTGCCTGGTAACAGTAGACCAATAAAATTGATAAGTAGTATATATACGGTATATATTTTTACTGGTTGTTAAGAGACGTTGTAATGTTGTTTGTGCACTGTTCCGTAAAAAAACCATAAGCAACGTAATTTGTGTGTTACTGATACGTACATATTCTTAAAGGTAGCAGTGTTACAGGTGCTGTTCGAGGAAAAAAAGCATTTGCAGTATGTATTTTTGTATGTTACCATAACGTTTATGTTACCTTACGGATTAAATTAAACGTTAAAAATCCTCACGTGTAATATTTCTGTGTAAATATCTAATATTACGAGTGAAACGCATACGGCTTAAAATCCGGTGCGGTCTGTACAAGTACAAAATTGATTTTCTTTCTAAAATTAGAGCATGCGGCTTTTAATCAGGTGCGCTCTGTAGTCCGGGAATTACGGTAATCCTGTGAGCGCAAGCACATGGTGACAGTGGGAAGGGAGCAGCAGGACCAGGTTCATCTGCTGGGACTGGTAGGGGGTGAAGAGAGGGAGATGGGACAAAAACTCCACCGTGGAAGAGAGCCAGAGATATTAATAACTAATGATCAAATGCAAAGTGGTGTATAACCGCAGATAGAGTGAAAAAATGTGAGTGAGAAAGAAACGCTAAGTGCATCATGGGAACACTGAAGCAGGCTAGGCCTATTGCAGTATAAGTAAGGAAGGATTCAGGGGCACCAGATCCAGCACTAACTATACACTTTATTAAGTGTAGCTGAGCTTTATTAAGTGTAGCTGAGCTTTAGATGAGATCAGGACTGCTCAGGTGGTATGACCTTAAAGAAATAACAAACTCATCATCTGTTTATAAAAATTTACTTCCTGAGGTTTCTTAAGAAAAATAAATGTAATTTCAATAGTATGTCTGCCTTTCCTAAAGTATTATAGTAGTTTAAAGAAGCCAGTAAGACTAAAACTGAGAGGAAAAAAAACTAGAAGAAAAAAAAAAGATTTGCGGTCTGAAATTTCTGACGCCCTCTTTTGTAATTTTCACATTTTTCCACACATTTCAAATTATTCCGGCACGTCAGGTTGGAGCCTCTGACGGGTTGTTTCCGGGCCCCAGGCCTTATGTTTGACACCCCTGCTGTAAAGTGTTCTTGGCGTGAGTCCTACAGTGAGTGCTTTCCTCCAAAAACCAGCAGCAACCTTCAGAGTCAGCACTTTTTTATCTCTGTTATTTCAAATGTTTAGTAAAAGTGCAGAAGAAGAAGCAGTCACACAAATCACCACTTTGCATCTGGCACAGTGGTTACTCGGTTATTTACTTGCTGACAGTCCTTGAACTTTATTTTTACGATGCATGTTATGGCACAAAACGTGAAATCTAAATCTGTGGTTTTTTTGTCTTGCAGAGAATGTTTTCCCAACGACCTCCAGTTTACCATTCTCATGAGGTTCACTGTGGACCAAACACAGACGCCCAACCTCAAGGTAAATGACAAGTTGATATAATACATGTCTGTTTAGTGTGTATGTGAGAGAGCTGAGTGTGCAAATGTCTGTGCAAGGGTAGCATGCACACAAAGCTGGAAATTCAACTGACTGCTGTGCTAATATTATTACATGCCTGCCCATTGCTGGCTCTACGTCCCAAAACCCTGAATCCTGGGCTGTGATTGGATAGCGATTGATCGAGCCACTCCACTGGCTACTTTCAAGCTTTCTTCCTCAAACTCCTTTTTCATCTTTACCCAGCACACCTCTCTTTCTTTTCCCCTGATTATCTACTACTTTATTCCTTGCTCCCAACCCTTCTTACCCTTTTATCTCCCATGTTGCTCCTGCCTACTCCCACACCCTTTTTCTGCCTGATGTTTAACCTGTTTCCCTCTATTCCCTCTCCTTTCCCACTAGGCTTGGGCAATAAAGGATCTTACAAACAGTAGAATTTCACCACCTGCTGCAAATATTGCATTTCTGAAGACTTAACTACATCTTCATAGTAATTTTGTTAAATATTTTGCTATATCCAACCCCTCTGACATGTAAGAATTGGCTTAGATAGTATCACAGTATGAGTCTGACTCATTTTGTAAAACCATACAGTGCAATTTCAGTATCGCCCAGGTCTACTCCCCCATCTCTTTTTACTCCTCTACTCTCTCCATCCTCCTGCCTGCTTTCCTCTCTTGTTCCCCACCCCTCCCCCGTCCTCGTCTCCCTGTCTCTCTCCGTTGATTGACGCGGTGCTTCTCCTCTCTCTCTCTGAAGCCTGTGCGGAGCTCGTGTTGCGGGCGAGGCAGGGGAGGGTCCGGGGTAAAATTGTTCCCCCCCAGAGCGCGGCGCCACGCCTGCTCTCTAGACGAGCAGGCCGCAGCCTGGAGCCAGTCCTCCCAGGTCAGTGCGCTCCGGGGGGAGCAATTATGTGGCGCGCACGATGCTGCTAAGTGATTTGGAGGAAGTTCTGGTCCTGAGGTGCATTTGTAGAGAGACGAAAGACAATCAGGGCAGGAGTCAGTTGTGGCGTTTCAGAGGCTGAGTTGAATTTTTCCATTTATTGGTTCTTTAATATTGTTATTTGTCATTGGTTTTTATGTTGATTGATTTTATTTTTGTACTATGTAACGCATGACTGCATTTTAAACTTTTCTCTCATTCATTGGATCATTTGATTTTTCAGACCTGCAAGAGATGCACAATCTGCTGTGGTTGTACATGCTGACTCACTTTTGTGTGTGTGTGTGTGTGTGTGTGTGTGTGGTTTTGGTTGTTTCTGTATTTGTGTTTTTACAGGTGAATATTGGCTATGCATATTCACCATTATAGGTCAGCTTCCTAACAATTTGTATAAATGTGTGTGTGTTTGCGTTGCAGGTGAAGGTGGCTATTCTGAAGTACATCGAGACACTGACATTACAAATGGAAGCTCCAGACTTTGTGAACTCTAGCGAGACTCGGCTGGCTGTTTCCCGCATCATCACCTGGACGACTGAACCCAAGAGCTCAGACGTCAGAAAGGTATCGTCTCACAAACACGCACACAACATAATACGTCCTCTTGCAACAGGCCCCTTTTGTTTTTGAGGGATGTAATTAAACTTTATAATATTGATTTGAAGCAAGTCAGGCTGACTGTTGAATCTGGATGTTCAACACGTTCTCACTCCCAAAGCGTAACATTTTACGCTAGGTGACAAATCGTCAACATATTACGTTTCCGGCTACCCACCACGTTCCTAAATGACGACCTCGGAAAAAAGAGGAAATATGAGAACCGTCTGGACTCCATCTACACATGTTCGCTCTTTTTCTTCAAATCGCTTAGAAACACGCTATTTAACATCATTATAGTCCTGGTTAACATCAGGAATAAAGTTATGGTTAGGGCTAGGGATAAGGTTAGGTTTAGGGCTGGAACGTCTATTACCGCGGGAGCGTCATTGCACTGGATTCCAGCCATAACCCGCGGCGTACTATAAGAACGCCGAAGGTCTCCTTTTGCGTTTCTCAGGAACGCCGCGGGACGTGACAAAACGTTGATATGTTACGCCTCGGGAGTGAGAACGGGCTGGGATGTTACAACAAAAGCAGACGAAGTGTATGATACCACAGGTTTGAAAAACAGTTATTGCACTGCTTTACCAGCAGAACCAGGAATTTGCATGGGAAGAAAATCGTGTGATCTGTGGAGTATCCTTTCCATAGCTGCAGAGATGGTTTCAACTTTAGGCCAAGCAGTCTTCTTGCTGCACTGGCTGTTCTCTTCCAATAGCAGAAAGTTTTTGTTTCATTTTACCTGTTATTTTCTCTTTAATTTCATGTTGCGTTCCGGTAGTTTGCTGTCATTCACACTCTGTTTAAAACTTGTGACACTGTCTAAATTTTTGCCACAGCATATTCTTTTGCCTGGCTTCAGATCAGTCTTCTGCAAATGCCTGTCTGCACGCAGACAAGAAGCACACAGCAATCACGTCACCTTTGCTGGACTATAAATTTTGCTTGATAGTGACAACCATAGTTTTTGGTTTGTTTTGTTTTTTGTGTTTAAGCTTTATCTCATAACTATAAACTTGCATCTCATTTCAAAATCATAAATTGAAAAGGATCCTTGTCTCAAATGCCACCTCACAGCATCCCATAGTTAACCACAGTACTACTTGCAAGAGCTGCCACCCTGTTTGGTCCACAAAGTGCAAAGTCTAAGTGTGTACTTTGTGTGTAACAGGCAGCCCAGTCGGTGCTAATTGCCCTGTTCCAGCTCAACACTCCAGAGTTCACCATGCTGCTGGCAGCTCTGCCCAAAACCTTCCAGGATGGAGCCACCAAGCTACTTCAAAACCACCTGAAGAACACAGGCAATGCTGCACAGGTAAAACATACTCTGACTCTAAACTGTGAATGCTTCAGAATCACAGTTTACACCTGAACTCTGTCATTATACTGCAGCAATAATGGCGTACCTCTTTGTTGTTTTGTTACCTTCTCAGGCACCAATGGGCAGCCCTATGACACGTCACACCCCCCGATCTCCAGCCAGCTGGTCTAGTCCAGTCACTTCGCCCACTAACACATCCCAGAACACCCTCTCACCAAGGTAAACACTTGTCTGACAACTAGTCTTACACTGTCAAATCACTGTTATACAGTAAACAGTATTTTAGGGTGTTTTGTGGCCAAAAACACGCCTGTGGGGGGAAAAAAAGTAAGCTTGCAAATTACAGCGCATCTTTTACTGTGTCTGTGCAGTGCTTTTGACTATGACACAGAAAACATGAACTCAGAGGACATCTACAGCTCACTGAAAGGTGTCACAGAGGCGATCCAAAACTTCAGCGTTCGCAGCCAAGAAGACATGAATGAACCCGTCCAGCGGCGAGAAGGAGAGGAGGTGAGTGGAGGAGGCCAACACATTAGGGACATAAGTTCAATTCCTGGTGTGACTACAACCAGACCTGAGTGGTTTGTGTAACAGTTGGCACAATTCATGGGGGCGTTTGAACATTTTCGAATATTTTTATTTGATTTTACCTTCATGAGGTTCCCCCACAGCAAGAGACAAGCAGCGGTGCAGCAGCCAGAGATCATGAATGTCAATAAACTTGTGGGAAGTGGGCAGGTGTGGAGTTAAACTTCTCTCAACTTGGAGGCGAGCAATTGAAACGAGTACAAATGGAAGCGAATATTACCGTTGACTGGCCACTGAGGCTGATAAATACACTATATGGACAAAAGCAGTGAGTCACCTACAGGAGCTGCTCACCCATGGAAACATGTCATGAAGCTCCTGGTGCGCAGTTTTATGCTGATGTTAGTGCCGTCACCCAGCTGATCACAGACTTTCTAAAGAAGCTAACAAAGGCAAAGTGACGAAAGCAAAAAATATCCAGAGGTCAGAACCAGACACAAGCTAGCAGCCTCAGTTTGAGCAAAGGATCAAACTATTTACTAACCAAATTATGGAGACGGGTGAAATGGGGAAAAGGATTGATTTGCTGTTATCTGGTGGATTTGTAAACATACAAGTTTCACAAACTGGCTCGTTGAAAGGGTGACATCCAGTTATAGCACCACACTTGAATTCATGTTTTTCCATATAGTGTATATTATAGGGTTGCCTTTGACTCGTGAGCAGTCACCACGATGCAGTGCATGGTGGGCAAATTGCTTTATAGTGACCAGGCTTCTGAATGGTCTCTTTATTTTGATACCAGATGAAAAATACCACCATGGTGCGGTCCTAACACAAGCAGCTATACACCACGATCTCGCCAGTAGTATAAAAGTGTGAGAGTTGAGACTTTATTCCTGATAAAATAAGCAAATACCAGAATAAAAAGAGGATAAGACAGAGTATTCAGACTTTGTAATAGGTTTTGACACTCTCATTTAGCTCTGCACTCAGAAAGTATTATATCGTCTTTTGACCTTACAACATGTTTTCCAAGACTTGCAGAGGCTTGAAACACCCACACAGGTGTACTGTAGGGGACGCTGACATCTGATCTGCCCCACCACCCGTCCGTTAGCACAGGGAGTGCGAAGCATACATTGTTTATGGGACCGATAACTGTGAAAAATAATCTTCTACAGCTGCTGATAAAATCCTGTTTGTTTTATTTAAGCCTAGCTGCTGAAAAGCATCCCCAGTTATTATTTTGTGATGCTTGTGTAGGTAGCCTGCTCGTTCAAAACAAATTTATGACTTGAGACATGCCAGGTCTTATTTTGCAGCCCCTTGCAGTGACCCCGGTTCCTTTTAAGGACACGGCGTACTCTACTACAGAGGTGTGACCTCCTGACATTTTCCCCATGAGATGCAACTGAAACCCAAGTGGCCCACATGTCATCAGCGTGCCAATCACAGCACACCTGACTCATCAAACCCCAGCTTAGAGCATTTAGCGGCTCGAGTGTAAATATACACATACAAATAAGAGCACCTTAAACCCTGCTCAGCTCCTCACCTGGTGCTTCATGTGTCTGCCTTTTTAAGTGATAGAGTTGTTTTTATTTGTGTGTTTGTTTTCTTACGCTCTCATTTAGACAACAACATCCTCTCTAAAAAGGAAACTTTATCCAAAATGTCCTGATATATGAATGAATTTTAAGAAATCGAACGGAGACATGTTTGTTTTAATTCATTTGGCGTATTTACCATCTAAACACATAAAACAACTCTGCAGTTCAGACTGTTTTTAAACCAGAACTTTTGAACTCTTTAGAGTTTGACTGCTTGGTTCATTCGCTTTGTTTTTAATCCACCTTTGTTTTCAGGGGGGCAGCGGGACAGATGGCAGACTGTCAGATATGGGCGACGGCGGGCGTATGGCTCTGGACAATAAAACGTCTCTTCTCAACACCCCCCTGCTCTCCTCCAGCCCCCGAGTATCCCGCGAATACTTGTCCGACTCTCCCTTCAAACACAGCCGCAAAGACACCAGCCTGGACGACTCGGAGCTTCAAACTGATGGTACACAAAAGCATTCTGGCAGAAAAGGACAAATAACGACCTCGAGATATCGCTAACGTGGGTTATTTTCTGTCGCCTGTCTCCTCACAGATAGCAACTTGGATCAGTCGGAGCTGGTGGCCGAGCTCCTCAAGGAGTTATCCAATCACAACGAGCGCATAGAAGAGAGGAAAGCAGCGCTGTGTGAGCTGCAGAAACTGATACGCGAAAACACCCTGCAGGTGTGGGACGAACACTTCAAGACCATCCTGCTGCTCCTGCTCGAGACGATGGGCGACAGAGAGGTACACACACACTCATTTCAAATCTACAACAACCAAATGAAAGGGGAGGGAAGAGAAAAAAAAAGCTAAAGTCGCTCACTTTTATCTTAAATCCTCTCTCAGCATGTGATCCGAACGCTGGCTCTGCGGGTGCTGAGGGAGATTCTCAGCAAGCAGCCCTGGAGGTTTAAGAACTACGCAGAGCTCACCATCATGAAGGCCCTGGAGTCTCATAAAGACCCTCACAAGGAGGTGCGTTTATCCACACCCACGCTAATCTGCTCACTGAGAAGCTGATTTTATCACAAAGCATTATCAGACCATGAAGCGGTGGTGCAGAACACTCCTTTATTTTATTTATGGATCATCAAAGCTGGAAAAAAGCTTTGTGATTATCACTTAGTCATGTTGTATATTCATATTTCTCTGCTTTTCTGTAGGTGGTTCGAGCAGCTGAGGAGACGGCAGCCATGTTGGCGTTGTCCATCAGTCCAGACCAGTGTATCAAGGTGTTGTGCCCCATTATCCAGTCAGCTGATTACCCAATCAACCTGGCCGCCATCAAGATGCAGACCAAAGTGGTGGAGAGGATTCCCCGCGAAGGCCTGATTAGCCTGCTGCCCGAGATTGTACCAGGACTCATACAGGTAACATGCAGCTCAGATATGTAACTGTTCATTTGGAGGATGAAAGTATCAGCCGTGCAGTATCGTAGTTGTCTGTTATCTGCTTTATCACACACAGCCTTCACGTTCGTGCATAAATATGATTGTTATGAAGAACTGCAGATCTGTAAGTTGTGTTCTTCTGTCTGAACAGGGTTACGACAACTCTGAGAGCAGCGTGAGGAAAGCCTGTGTGTTCTGCCTGGTGGCCATCTATTCAGTGATAGGAGAGGACCTCAAACCGCACCTCAGCCAACTGTCCAGCAGCAAGGTAAGTTGAATTCATCGTAAACCAGCTCGCTAAAGATGTGTCGTTTCTCATCCTGGTCACCAGGATCTTTCTGTGTATACATTTCAAGCTCTCGTGTCAACAGGTTTCCACCAAGAGTCATCTATTTATTTACATTTTTTGTTCAGCTGATTTTTTTACTTTTATTTTTATTGCACAAAAGACAAGAGTGCGATAGTAAAGTGCAAACTGCATCGAGTACAGAAACAACTACAATATACTGCTTAATAACTTCGGCTGCAAAGACAGCAGCTAGCACAAAGCTAGCCAAGAACTTGGAGTGATTTTAAAGCTGAGTGAAGGCCGACCCGAGCCCAGCAGGCCCTGTAACTCAGGCAATGATGAGCAGTCAAGCTTGCAGCCTCTGTTTTTAAAGTGGCGATCACTTTGAAGTCTCTTGGCGCTAGTTTTCCTCTTTTGTTCTTATATGTAAAAACAAAGAGGAAGATTCTATGTGCGTCCTCATTTGTGTCAGTGTGTGGCACTGTGGCCTCAGGTTTGTATAATTCAGTTAACTGGTCATTGTGTGACCGTACATTTCAGGTTATTGTGCTGAGTAACTCAAAAGTAAGATAAGTAGTATAAAAAGTTACTTTCTCTGATGATTAATTACATAACGTAGTACATCAATTTTAAGAAAAGTAATGAGTAATGTATAACACGTTACTTTTTTTTTTTTTTTTTTTTGAGTAACGACTCCAGCGCTGGTAAATACAGATGTAGGTTCAGGGTCTGAAAAGTGAATTCAAAGCCTTTAACCTGAATTCTTTCTGAAAGCCAGCAGAGGGCGACTCCTCTGGTTGCAAAATATACTTTAGAATTGTATACAAGTGTATAAGTAAAAATGACACCTCTTATCAGTTCATTTGTGACCTCTGTAAATTGTTTCCTGATGTGGTTATGATCATAATCTCCGAGAGTCTTACTGGAAATAACATGAAGTGAACAGTTTACTGTTTAAAGTAAAGTAGGTGATTTAAAACGTGGCGCTGTACCAGCATGCAGCGTCCTCAACAAAAACGCTCAAGTGAAGCACTCACATCAGGACACGGAGCCATTACAATCGCTACATCCATCCTTTATAAACAGTTGATGGCAACAACCATAAAAGATGAGTGATGAGTCTGTCAGCTACAGACTGATTTATTTGTGATGAATCACAGGACGACCTTTCAAAAACAGTCATGTGATAAACATTACTTGCCCAAATAATGCAGGAACCATAAACGCCACGTGTCAGCACGCGGTCGGCCTGCTCAGATGGAGTAACTGCAATCTCGCCTTTTGGATTTTTAGCGTCTCTTGGCTTGCACACATTATTTAATTCATGTTCTTCTGTTTTTCTATCTGCAGCTGAAGCTGTTGAATCTGTACATCAAGCGCGCCCAGTCCGGCACCACCGGCAACGAACCCTCAACCGAGGGCCTATAGGATACAGAGCGCCATCCCACAGGGCAACTACAGAACTGCAGCTATGCCCACCCAACATAAACCATCTGTTCATGAGAACACAGCAACACAGACTGAGAACAAAGCATTCACAGGAGCAAACTACATACACCACACACACACAGCTGTTAGGTACACACAGTCATCACACGTGCAGAGGAGAGTTGTAGTTCTGCTCGCCATTTCTTAGGATCCCTTCTGACTGAACTGAACCCTCAAACTCGGATTAAACTTAAACAGACATGCAGTCACACCCTCCACAGGTTTGTCACTACTCACTCAAGGATGAAGATATTAAACGCCCGTCCTGTCCGCTCCGCTCCATATCCACAGCACAGTCCCTCTGAACAGCATCTCGAGGTCAACAGGAAGTGGTGCATCTGCATGGTTCTCATTTCCCTGGGCGGTAATATTCCTCCAACGGTGCTGTCTCCTCGTTTCCTTCTCGAACACTCATTAACTTGAGGGAGGGGGGTGCCAGGTAGACGGGAATGTAATTTTACATTGTGTCATAGTTTGGATTTCTTTTACGCAGGGAGGTTTTACTGCAGTGGTTTTTAATACCCGGAGTTTTCTCTCTCACTCAGACGTCAACACGTGTTTCAAAAAGGTGCTGATGAGCCTAAACGGTACGACCGGCCGACCCCAGCACACGCAGCACTAACACGAGTCAAAGTGGGTCCTGCCTGCTCATAGCAAATACAGTACATACAGATTCCAAAGTTTAGGAGGCGTTATGTGCTTGGCTATGCATGAGACGAAATTTAAAAGATTAATAACTTTTTATTAGGGTCTGTTGTCAGAGTGCTCTGACTGGGGTTTTAAATTAATGTGAACAGTGTCTGCCCCTTTCAGATAAATCCATGATGTCCTCCATTTCTCCAATCTCGCATCAGTTCTGGGCAAGACGTGGAGAAAGATGGCTGCTTACTACATGAAGTATGACAGGACATGGCTTATTATCACATAGTGGATATGTATCTATATATGATATTAAAATGGAGTATCCAAATAACAGTGTCATTCAGGGGAGTTCCCCAGAGGGGGGGTGCACGCGCGCACCTGTGCCCATCCTTGTTTTATTTTTATTTTTTTTCCCTCTCTCTCACACACTTATTTTGTTTATCTCTGCTGAGAAATTTGTAGAAATTTATTATTTACAGCTCTGGGAAAAAAGAAACAAGTCATGTGTCACTTTTCTCCTGTTCGTGTCTTTCTTTCCTTCCTCTTCTTGTAACATTCTAGTTTTCACTGTTGTTTCCTCTGTGCATTTACAAAGCTGTGCTTACAATAAAATAAAGAACTTGTACAGATCACGATAAGCCCCGCCTCTCTTCATTTCTGCAGCATAAGAAAGTGCTGCGGTAAGGCAGTGAGCAGAAATACCGTGCATGGGTGGGTCTGTACCTCCTCACAGGAGTGTTGTTCATGCAATTCAACTGAATAGATCTATTAAATGCTAACAGAATGTTGCAGTTTATCTGATCCAGGATCAGTGATCAAACCTCTACAGTATCATAAATATTTCGTAGTCCCTTAAAGAGTCCCTTCATCCCAAATTTTACACAGTGTGACTGTGTCACAACCACTCAATTTCAGCAAACACCTCAGTATGAAAGCATCAAAAATGCAAAATTACTTTACTGATTAATATTTAGCAGTTATTTTATTCTAAAACAATTTTATTCTGAGCTGCACAGGTGATCGGTTTTATGTTTGTTTTGCGAGAAATTGGTGAAAATGTGCGTCAGGATTTTATCCTTGCTTTGACAAACCAGTCAACACCAGGAGTTTAATTTACTGTCCGATAAAGCAGTGGGTTTTCCAGCTGTCACTCTCCCGCAAAGAGCAGCAGCAGGTGGGAGATCATGGACTTGTTAAGAAACGTTAAGAAAGTGGGCTAATCCACACATGGAATAAAAGATAACATTTAGGTCTTATGCAACATAGCTATTTGTGAAACTGGTGCTATATTTCATGTATGCATCTGTCCTCTGGGCTGTAAATTTAGGAACAGCTAAAGAGAGTCCCAGATACTGTCTGACCTGTAAAACCCCCTGGCCTTGCTGCACTCATCTACAACCTGCCAAGACCCTGCAGTTCATACTGAGTCTGTCCTCAAAACAATTCCCAACTTGGGAAAACATATCAGTTACACTGTTGAAGATGGATGTGGTATACTTTAGCAGTTTTACATACTTAAAATTTGCATTTTAAATCAACTCTTGTGTTTTGCAGGTAACAACTAACCGTGCTTGTTCTCTGGCTTGGAAATCTTGACTTTTTGACAGTTTTCTGCTTAAATTGGCTTTAATTTCCTAGAACAAGAAGACCTTGTTATGAAAAGTGGGTGTTATTGGTCGGAAAGGAAGGTTTGTTTTTAGACTTTCCATGATTTCCCTGAACTGGGGTGCATGTAGCTCTTGGGCAAGATACTAACCCCAAGTTCTCTAACTCCAATCCATCTGTCTGAGTATGAATGTGTGGGAATGTTGGATAGAAAGCACTTGAGCAGGTAGAGCAGACAAGTGCTAAATGAGAATCAGTGTATTTACTGTAACGGTTCTTTTTGCAGGGTGAAATGATTGTTCAGCATACACCTTTAAGGACTTTAGTTACAAAGAAATGCACAGGTTTGAGTTTATTTGGGATATTCTGTAAACCATATAAGGTGATGTGTGCTCACATGTCACTAATATTTGGTGAATGTCCCTTAGTGAGTCGCACCTCAACTACACTCTCTTGGTAGGCATCAACAAGCTTCTGGTGTCTGGTATAGCGTTCATTTAAATCAGTTGGTTTCTTGGTAAGGATCTGGCTTTTAGGGCTCTTTCACAAATTTTCAATAGGATTGAGGTCGTGGCTTTGGGAAGCCTGCTCCAGCAATGTAATGTCACCCTAGTTTATCTATTACAAAGCCAATTGTCGTGTGTGTTTGGGATCATCCTCCTGTTGGAACACCTAACTGTCTTCAAGTTTCAACCATCTAGATGTTGATTTGAGGTAAAGTTCTAGCTAATTTGTCTCGTGTACTACTGGCAACAAAACAGCCCCAGAGCACGATGCTACCACCACGATGCTTGACACTTGGTAGTGTTCTTAGGCGTAAAAGCCTCACCTTTATTCCTCCAAATGCACCTGGTGTCATTGTGACCAAATAGCTTCAGTCTTGACTCACCTGATCATTGCTTCTTTAACCAACACAGCAGTTTTCAGTTGTGCATTTATGTAACTAGAGTTAGATGATAAATTTGCTTTTGGAGACACTAAATGTGGAACACATGAGTGATGACTGCTAAAACGGCCTCTGTACACCTATATACATACTGAATTTAAAAACATATTATTTATTACATTATTCAAATGTACAAGAACTGATTGATTTTTTTTATTGTAGTAATTACTGTATTCATATATTTTTAAACTGAAGGGGGGATTTTTTTTTTATTAGTTTTTTTTTTGTTTGTTTTTTTTACAAGCTGTCCATTGCAAATCCTTAATTTAAAATGAACAAGTGTTATCCAACACTTATGCAACATGAATTTTAGTTCTGTCCATGCTAGACAAGTAAAGTTACTCCCTTGTGTTCTTTGATGTTTGCATATTTGGTGTTGACTGTCGTGTGTTTATGTCCATATTCTGAATTTCCTGAGTCAGACAGAAGGACTTTAAATCATGAGGCGGGCCTCCCCTCCACCTCCCCCTCCCTTTCAGGGCCAAAATAGCGTGTGTGCCCCACTCAGAAAACCAGACTAGCGAGTGCGCCACGTCCAGGGTCCGAGCGGTGCGTAATTATTGACCAGAGAGTGCAAAAGGTCTGCAGCCATCTTCTGTGGACTGGACTCTTCTTCTTGCTCGACATTGACATGAATGAAACACTGATCTCCCGTTTGGACCTCGTCGTCGGAACCGGGCCGAGTGGTGTTTATGTGCAGGAGAAGTGAGGAGAGTGCTGATGAGACGCGATGTTGTTCTGGCAGCCGTACACTGAAAACTTCCGAGCCCCCCTACAGAGACAGAACAGCGGCTATACGAGGTATCCGCTCATGTACACCTCAAATGTAAATGTTTGGTTTAGTTTATATCCTCACAGTGTGGGTGTTTGGAGCAACAACAATAACTGTTAATAAATAACTCTCGGTGAAAAGGTCAGCGCCCTGTCGCTGTATTTGCATCAGAGATATAACATTATTTTTACTTGACACTGAGGGGTGTTTGCATGCCTACAGGGTTCATATTTGTTGACAGTAACGACTTTTTGTAGATATGTGTTATAGTTTCAGGGAGGCAGAGCGCAACTACAGTTGGACACAATGACGGAAGCTCGAAGGTTGCTGATTGGCTAAAAATTCTGCGCTGGGCACAGAGGGTGGCCTCTGATTGGCTGGACTCAGTCTTTGGCATCCTTCCCGAGGCTGGCGGTGGCAGCCCTGCGGGCTTCAGAGACCGACAGTCTGTGTGCTGAGGGAGCCATGTTGATGCTCTGTTTTGTGTCAAACGCTTCATTTTGGATGGTTAACGGACTGCGTGTTAAAAATAAGGAGCCCCGGCGGTGATTCCAGCCCCGCGATGAGAAGAGGAGCGCGGAGTGGGATGGTAGAGGGAGCGCCAGAGGAGAGCCGCTCTTAGGTCACCGGACGTAGCTGAAAGCAAGTGAAGTTGACGCTAGTTAGCTTCATAGCTCGGTAGCAACAGCTGGTGCGGGGCGCTGCGTGGGATGCGGTGTGTGGATTAAAACGATATTTTTTCCTCCTTCTGCTTGTGTCGTTCTGCTGAACAAACGTCTGTCGGACTGTATGAAGACTCGATACTTGAAGCAACAAAGGCGCTGCTGAATTCAGGCTAGCTTGCTTAAGCTTCCTTTTCAAAGCTAGCTGTTAGCTAACATTAGCATGCTGACAATCAGCTCGGATCTTCAGTCACGACTAACTATTTACTCGTTGAGTGGGTTCTAGGTTACTTTCAGGCAGTCTGCCTGTCTTGGAGCATCCCTTTGTGCGAAAATAAACTCTCAGAACTCGAGTGGAGATATGGCAATGCATCCAGTCTCTGTGGAAAGCTACCGGTTCGCCTGCCCAGCTTGCCAGGGAGCGGCTAGCGGGCTAGCAGCATAACTTTCCTCTCACGGGTGTCATTCAGAAGCTGCAAAGCTCACTTCCTCTATAAGCCGACCTCTCGTACCTGAAGCAAGCTGGCGGCCATCCGAGTAGAAGCCGAGGACAAGGAGCTGGGGCCGATGGCCTGGGTGCTGAAGATGGACGACGCCACCATCGAGTCGGGGCTGGTTCACGACTTCGACGCCAGCCTGTCCGGCATCGGGCAGGAGCTGGGCGCTGGAGCCTACAGCATGAGGTTAGAGAGACTGAAGACAACATGCCAGTCCCAGCTTCAGTGGGTCGTTGGCAAGAACAGCTCTCTGAGTGTTAACATTACAGCCCCCCTGGGTGTGTTACTCCCTTTGTGTTGGGTGTTATGGTTTCTCTTTGTTTTGGGATTTGGACTCGAGCAGTCACTGCGGGGTGCCACGATCAGGGATGAAGATTAATTTCTCTAAACACACACAAAGGCAGGGAAGGGGACACGTGTCATACTGCCAGGGACAAAGATGTTTTGTTTTTGTTTTTTGTTTTTTTATCAGTCTGCACTGTTTCTCAATGCACGCGTATGCTGCAAGGACATGGGTAAAGTTTTTGTTACATCCAGGAAGTCAGGAAGACACTGTTCTGGTTTTAAGAACAGGTCTGTGGCTTTGTTTCTCATAATCAGGGTTATGTGGAAACAAGTGGCTGCACATGTCTAGGCGGATGGGACTGAATTTAGACTCTTTTTAATGGAGCTGTTCTAGGTTATAAATGAAATTGCTCAAGCATTTTTTCCTCCCTCAATTCAGGACATATATGCACCTCATCTTTTATCATTGAAGCCAGTATTTTTTTCTGTTTACCTGCTCCTGACCCCTCTAAGCAGTGATCCATGATCATATATTTTTAGTCTGAATATTTTAACTCTGTTTGACATTTTTGAAACTCTTGCTTTCCTCCTGAATGATTTTCCTCAGAAAATGTAGCAGCAATTTGGTAGAGGTGGGAATCACCATACATCCCACGATACGATATTATCACAATACTTAACGCACGATACGATATTATTGCAATTTTTTAAAATATTTTGCGATATTCAGATTCTGTACATAAAGGTAAACTTTAGCAATATTCATTTTATTTAATATCAAAGTCTCGCACTCAGTCTTTCTCTCATTTCAGTCAGTTTTATTGTTGACAAACTGAACGGTTTGTATTACAGTCTAGTCCAACTT